TACTAAAATGCACCCCCCTCCCTCAATGCTAGCCTGCCTTGGCCCTTTCCATGCCCTCAACCTACCCTGCCTGCTTCTTCATCAAAGTTCTTAGCACCAAAGATGTCACATGTTTGTTATCTTGATGGCTGGCTTTTTCTACCCACCACCGTGTGAGCAGGGACTTGAATTTCATAGCCATGCCCTAAATGGCTAGAACAGGGCGTACAGTCAGCTCTCAATAAACCTGTGCTGAGTGGGTGAATTAATCTGATTCACAGTTTAAACAGATCAACCTGGCTGCTGTGGGGACCATGGGTTCGGAAGAGTTGGGAGTCAAACCCACGAGGAGGCTTTCCCAGAGGTCCAGGTAAAAGCCATGTGTAGGAGAAGAAGGGGGCAAGTGTAAAACCATAGCATGCCCTTGGTGTTAGAAAATTAGCATGGCACCAGCTCCTCACACTAATGATTAAATAGGTGTTTTCTTCATGTGGAGCCATGAGCTCATAAAAATGAGTATTTCTTTACAAGCTGCTAAATTGAGAAATTTTTCTTGTGTACTTACATGTTACCAACACAAAATTGATAAAATGATACAGTTTGACAAAATCTATTAACAATAAAATGCACATGCCTTATGATCTCACATCTTCATTGCTAGAATTTATCATTGGGATAAACTCACAAAGTATATCCAAATATATGCAGGGATAGTCCCCCTGCTATTAATTGTAATATCCCCAAACTAGAAACAATATAAATGCCCCTCAGTAGGAACCTGCTTAAAAATACTTTAAAAATGTTTCTACAGCTATTAAATAAAATGAGGAAAGAGCTTTAAGATATATAGTGCGCTTAGAAAGATTCCATTTTTGCTAAAACACACATACACAAGATTCTGATATGGATACAATTAGTGATATTCAGGGAGAAAGAAAGCAGAAAGGAGGAAAGAGGTAAATATTGACCTAAGTAGGTTTTATTTTCTTAAAGATAATATGAAAAACACAAGCAATGGTTATTTTTTGAAGAAAGAACGGGATTGAAAGGGGTAGAGAGAATTTTACTTTCAGACATTTCTAAATTATTTGATTTTTTTTTTTGAAACATAAACTTGTATTTTCTTTAACACAAACAAATAGGCCTGGCCATTGTGGCCCAGTGGATGAACATAGCACATGATCAGGGCACATGTCCCAGTTTCAGGCCAATCCCAGTAGGGGGCATGCAGGAGGCAGCTGACCAATGATTCTCTCTCATCACTGATGTTTCTATCTCTCTTCCTCTAGAAAATCAATAAAAATATATTAAAAACAAAACAAACAAATGACATCCCTTTGAGATAACTAGCAGAATAATCAAGAACATATATCATTACTTGCTTTCTGATTTTATGGACAGTAGTCCAATGATTCATCGACACATACACAATGAATGAACACACATGCACAACAAGTATGTACACGGATTACTATATATCTGAATGCTCTAGAATGCAGTGGACAAAGACCTCTGATTAGAACACAGTAGATACAGCCCATATTTGCAAGTGACTTTCCATGCTGCAGCCAATGCACCACACAGGAGCACAATCCAAAAATGATTTTCAACTCTGCATGATGGATCCTGGCTGTCATTGCTTCCCTGCTCATTTTTTGAAATCAAAGAGACAGAAACTGTTTCTTCGCTTAAGGAAGCATCTCTCAGCCTACATGCGCTGTGCTGACATTCAATGTTAAATAGTAATTTCTATTCCATCCCTCAGGTGTAATCCGTCTCCCCAGCAAAGCTTTGCTGGCTCTTACAGGAACGGTAACATTCACAAGTCCATAGATGCCACTTTCTTTTCTCTGACGATTTATTTTACATATCTCATGGGCTAGGGGCTTATGTAATAAAACAAAAGTTACCTTGAGAAAGGGAAAACATCCTCTTGCATTCTTAAGAAAAGCAGTAGAGTTGCAGATTTTTTGAAAACTCCATTACATTCAAAAAGCTCTTTCAAAGGCCATTTATTATCCTGCCTTTACTTCAATCACCTACCTACTCAGTGCTGTAACTAAACCTCTCTAAATGGTACCCAAAGAGGAGGCTTTGTTTACAGGGTCCACTAGAACTATTTCTAACCTCAGGAATGTGAAATGTTTACCACATCCACTTTTTTTTTTTCAGTTGTAAATGTATTTCTAAAGCAAGTATTCTAATTACCATTCACGGGGAAGTCACAGAATAGTGGGCTATTTTGCAAGTCAATTCGGGAGAAAAATAGAAAGCCAGGTTAAGTCCAATTTAGGGAGGTTAAGCACCGCAGGCCTAAACACACAGGACAGAACCAACCACTCCCCTCCTGGGTCCCGCATTGTCATGTTAACAACGGCAAACAAAAGGACCCAGGGAAGGAAGGAAGATTACCTGTCCCAACTAAAACTAGGACAGTAGTCCTCTTTTTGAAAGATGGAGGGATGCAAACCAGGTGTAAGGGTCTTAAGTCACTCCAAGTCATCTTTCTACTCAACCAAGACAAGAATCAGTGAAGAGCTTTATTACCAAGAAGTACTATCCTACAACAACAAAGACATCAATGACATAGCAAAGCAACGCTCTGACAACCATAAAACCACGGACATTGAGTTGCTAATATGATTTCTGACCAAGGAGAGGTGGGGTAAGGTGGGGGCGCCTGGAGAAGAGAGTCACAGGAAACCAAACCTAAGGCTGGCATGTGGGATGATATCAAAGAGGACAACGTGGGCAGGCAATGAAGCCCAAGCAGACTGAATGGAGCTGTGACCTCCGATGAATGAATCCGGGCTTACAGATCTTAGCGAATTCAGCCGAGGGCACCACTGGCCAGCAGAAAGGACAGGACGGCAAGATCACTCTCGTGCAATGAAATCAAGTTTCCGGAAGCTCAGGAGTGCCAGCGACTTCCCATGGTAATTACCAAGGCACCCAAAGCAGCACCCAGCCCGGAGGAATGCCTCTGAACTAGATTAAACCACCAGACTAGTAATTAAACTAACTTTATATGGGAGAGGTCTCTTGCTCAAACTTGAGCAATCCTGCTCATTTCAGGAAAGCAATTTTAGTACAAAAGTGGAAACAAGAAACTTCTGAGCCTCGATTTCGGCTCAGATACTGCCGTTGGCAGCCTCTGTTCTCCTGACTACAAATTCAGGAGGCCAAGGACTTCCCGGGGGTGTTAAAGGGGATTAAGATTATGAAACACCGTGAAGATGAAAAGGACTAAGTCTCAGTCTTGTATCATTTGCAGGTAGTTGAACAGTCTGTTTCGGTGTCAGCAAACAAGTTTCTACCATTTTATCCACCTAGACATTTCCATAGCAGTCACTACCGTTAGTACCTAAGTGTCTTTTACTAGACAACCTGTTGAAAGACTGCTTGGCATCTTGTCAAAATGACATGCTGCTACATTGTGTTCTAGTCCGCAAGAACCTAAAAATTTAGAAAAGAAGCTGATTTTTTCTTCTACTTCAAAATGATCCATGCTGTGCCTCATGACAATTCTGTTTATTTCTTACAGCTGGGCAATAATGTGGTAAATGAAATAGCTAGAATATTGTGTTCCACCGCAAACACTCACAGATTGGGCATTTTAAGGGCTACTTTGAAAAATCGGCATATTTATTCCAGAGCTCCACAGACTCCAAACTATAAGGCAAGTTCTCTACCCGCCCCCCCTTTAAACTAACCCCCGGAAAAGAGGGCATCTCATTATGTTTGATCCTTACAAAGTCTCAGATGTGGGGTATTCTTCCCTCACTTGACTAAGTACGGGGAAGGCAAATGTACCTGAAACAACCCCAACTATTACTAACACTGATGTGTAGCAAGGTGACTGACCTGCAAACATGAGTGAAAAAGAAAAGGTTACAAAAGTGCACGTGGGGGGTGGGATCTCACAACTTGCTGTGCTGAATGTCCAAACAAGGCATTTAAAGTTCACTCCAAAAAGCAGTGTAAGTTTTTACAGGGTGAGCTGAGAACAGAGGAAAAAGAAAACAACTGCCCTGGCGTTATGTCCACAGAGTACGGAAGTGCCAGCCTGGAATAAAGATGAAACACTGCAAAACCATGTGAGTGACCGAGTCAAAGAATAGATCAAGTGGCCCTGGCCGGTGCTGCTCAGTGGTTAGTGTCAGCCAGTGCACTAAAGGATCTCGAGTTCAATTCCCAGTCAAGGGCACATACATTTTATGTAAATAAATGAAAACTATTTTAAGTAGACATTGGCCTTCTCATCCTATATTCCTAAAGTTGGCCATGAAACATTTTTTTTTAAAATTTTTCTCATTAAAAAATGATGACCACCTCATGTTTGCTAAAGCATCATAGCTGGGCATATATGAAACAAGTTCTAGTATATTCCATTATACCTTCTTTGGGAGAGGAGTGTGAATCACAAATTTTAAGAAATTTCTAAAAGTTTGGTTTTCCAATATTCTGAAAAACTATTTTCTAAAGGAAAAATGGTTAAGATTCAACAAAATTATGACAAGCCATACATATGGACAGGGCTGAGATGTATAGGATCAGAAAATACATTCTTGATCTGGTGTGGACTCCTTACACTGAGCTCAGCATACCTCCCGAAAGATGGTGCCCTGTGATTCATGCATCTATCCTTCATGGCAGACAACACTGAGGATTAGGAATTGTTGTATCAATAACAAATGCAAATAAGGCTCCAGCCAGTGTTGCTGCAAAGAGCTGTGCGCTGAACAACGCCAGTGGGCGTCATTCATAGCAGCCATCCTTGATGTGTGTATTTCTAAGGACAGTTTTTTGGTGGGTGGCAGGAAGGGCACCTACCTTCTCGCTGGCATGAAGGTGCCCTGTGGACTGCAGCAGCTATAGTTCAGATGCACCAAACTAGACCACAGACATGGCAATGACCTTTTCCAGGTGTGGAAAAGTGAGGGATCAATTTCATGCTGGTGAGCAGTGACTAGTTTAGGAGCTGAGCACGCAGTCAGACAAATGACCAAAAGGAAAGTTACCTTGTAAATCCCAAAGAACCCCAGGTCCCTCACGACAGACAGAGCACTGACTCGGGGACCGGTGGTGATTTCCCCAGCCACTTGCAAGCGGATCTTGACGATTTCCAAAGGATTTGTGAAGATCACCTGGGAACCGCCTGCCTAGAGAGGAAAAAAGAAAAGTATTATCAAAGCAGGGTCATGGTAAATGGTTCTGGAAGAGGTGAGTGATCCTCCTCAATGGAGCTCTGAATATTCTATCCTCAAGAGACCGCACTTTCAGTCCTTGTCCCATCAATGAAAACAGCTAGTGATTATGAGTTCAAATCAAAATACAGTTGCTGCCGAGGGGACCTTGGCTTTGAGCCCTGTGATGGCAGTTGATTGCCCTTTCAAGGAATCTTTGTCATTTTAGGGTGAGGGCTCTGGTCATTTTAGGGTGAGGGCTCTGGTCAGCATGAAATTGATCCCTCACTTTTCCTTCTTGTGAAGGTTGAAGGAAAGCAATGACCAGAGACTTAGCTGAAAACAGAGAGACCTATGTTGGCCTCACCAAAGTCCTCACCCTTAAATGATCAAGATTCCTTGAAGGGCAATCAACTGCCATCAGAGGGCTCAAAGCCAAGGTCACAAAGGCAGCAATAAAACAGAAATCCAACAGTATCCAAATGATGAGACACAGATCTGCCATCAGGATGCGAGGGGCAGGGAGGACACAGGTCCTCCCATGATGGACTCCATGATTTCCTCAATGACCCAGGAAACATGCAAACGTAGATAAAAGCTATTTCTTTCTTCTCCTAAAAAAGCAGGCCAGTCATCAAACACTATTTTCTGGAGTTACATAGTATTATAATTTTATTTATGTATTACCTGTGTATAGAATTATTCTTTTCATATAAGATAAATGTCAAAGTAGTAAAAATATGCATTAAATCAATTATGGCCCCAACTTTGAACAACGTGTGCTATTTCATCCCAGCAATGGCTGGGTGCCACTCCTCCGAGATCATCAGTGGAAATCTTTAAAGTGCACTCTAAGGGAAATTTTAAGCTCGCTATTTTGAAGCTAAGCCTGTATTTATCATAAGCAATTACATTCCTTCTTACTGTACTTCAACTTGTTATTCCTTGTCACAAATATATTACATTTTTATACCATCCGAGCTAAGGTTGACACACAGTTATAGATCAGAGTTTTTATTATGTAGCGAATGCACCAAACTAGACCACAGACACAGCAATGCAGCTTAGAGATGCCGCCATGGCAACGGGCACAATTTGGGTCAATATCATCTCCAACTACTTCTTGCTAGAGCCTTTGATCCTATTAACCAGTGCACACACCCGGACAAAATGGCCTGCACTAATCAAAACCAGCTACGACAATGGTCTCTGAAGTATTGTTGATAACACCTAGGAATAAAAATTAGGAACATAAATATCCAGCAGTAAGGTGAGGACTAAATGAACGTATGTATGCTTGTGCCACGAGAGGCTATCCTGACCATAAAAAATCATGGCGGCTGCTCACTATATTCTGTGAAGTGAAAACTCTCCCGTGTGTCAATGCGTGGACACCTGCCCCAGCTCTGCCTAAACATCATGTGGGAGAGACACACCAGAGCAGTGCTTCTGAGGTGGCAGATTACAAATGGTTTATTTTCTTTTCTGCTGTATTTGTTGTATTTCTTCTACACTGATCATGTGTTACTTCTATAAGGAAACATAAATACTTCTGCCTAACTTACTTAATATACATGGCAACCTCCCCCTACCCCAAAATGTTCATTCATTAACTCCTAAATCAAATTGCTTTTCCATTTTTACCAACTTCGTACCTTAATCAAGACACACGTGTTCTTGAAAACAGACCTGAGAGTTTCCATTTTCTCCATTAAACACTACAACGGTTTAGACAGAAGGCAGCGGAGGGCTCCTGAGTCTAGACTGCCACACTGCCGTACGCGCTTCTGCTGTGCGTTGCCCATCACCTTCATCTCTCCTAGGCGACTCTAAGGAGCTGGACCAAGTAAGCTTGGTAGAAGAAACCTGGGGTGGATTCATCAAGAGACGGGCCCAAGAAAGGCCCTTCTAAAGTGGAAAGGAGGTGAGCACATCCAGGAGCTGGTGTGCTCTGGTCCCCACAAAGGCATTCTGCTCCCACTCCTCCAGGGCCCAGAGCAGCCAGGCTGTGCTCCAAGCAGGCAGGCAGAAGACCAAGCCCCACCTGCTACAGCCGTTGAGTATTTTGTGGGTTTGCTCCTGCCCCTCTCCACACGACATGAGGGGAATTCAGTGTGGCAGGATGAAGAGATGAAATGGACCTGACCTAGTAACAGTGCTGAGCGCACAGTAAAGATTATGTCTGTGCTTCTGACCTGGGCTCTCAAGTTGTGAAAATAAGTAAAAATTAAAAAATCATTTTCTGGGGGCAGGATTGCTCAGAAAGATTTGCTGAGCTCGAATTAGCCTGAGGCTGATTTCTGAAAGCTCAAGGGTAGAATGGAAAGTGGTCAGTGCACACTGATCTTGAAGAACAAAGCAGGAACTCAGTGCATACTTACAAGTATTGCCAACAGCAGGGAAGGAGGGAGCTGAGTGTCCCTGATGAGGACCAAGCCTCTGCCCCCAGTCCCCTATTTGTCAAACGATCTCACTTCTTGTGAGGATCAAGGAGATGGTAGTGGTGTTGCAGCCAGCACAGTGCTCAAGACACAGTAGTGACTCCAAACACGTTGGTCATTTCCTCCAGCTCCTAAATTAATGGTTTTCCTTCCTGGCTGCATGTTACACTCGCTCTCAGAGCTTTAAAATATAATGACTTCTAGAACCCTCGTGCATTGCTGGTGGGAATGCAGACTGGTACAGCCATTATCAAACACAGTATGGAGTTTCCTCAAAAAATTAAAAGTGAAACTGCTGTTTGGACC